TTCTAGTGCCAGGGACAGGCTGAGCTCACCCATCCAGGCCTTGCATCAGCTGTAGGGCTGGCTGCCAGGCCCTGGGAATGAGGCGGGCAGCTCCCAGGAGCCTGCTGGTCTTGCCTCATGCAGTCAGGGAGAGCACAGCAAGGGAGCAGCCACTTCAGGGATTCCTCAGCCCCTCCATTTCCGGGTCACTCAAGTACCCAGGCAGCAAGCAACATGTGCAGTGAAGGGCAGACAAGGGGAGGGCCTGAGAGGACCCAGCCTGCTAAGGTCTCTGCAGGACATCCTCTTACAACTGGCTGCTGTCTCCTCCTCGGTGGATGGGAACTTGGGGTCTGGTCTCTCTGTAGCCCATGAGATCACCACTTTAAAAAAGTGACCCTCCACCATGATGGAGCATGGTGGCACATGCCTATGATCTCAGCAACTCAGGAGGCTGAGGCAGGAGGATTGCAAGTTCAAGGCCAGCCTGGGCAACTTAGCAAGACCCTGTCTCAAAATAAAAATAAAAAGGGCTGGGGATGCAACTCAGTGGTAGAGCACCCCTGGGTTCAATCACCAGTACCAAAAATAAAATGATAACTAAAGGTGACCCTCCACCATAGCTCCAGGTGCTAGAGAGGCAGGAGCCATATGAGAGGCACTATCATGGCCTTGACTTATTTCTGTTGCAGCTCAGGGCTGACTGTGACAGGAGGCTCACAGGACGGAAGCCTGGTCCTCTGGCCCTCTGGGACTGTCACCCCTGCCTTGTGCCTCCTCTGTCTCTGGATCCTCTCTGAGTACAAAAGTGCGTGTGTGTCTGTGTGTGTGTGTGTGTGTGTGTGTGTAAGACCGTCTGGGCTACCCACTGTCTCTTCTAGGTCTCCACTGGGGACCTTCTGGAGCCAAGATGGGCAAGGCCAGCCCTCACAGCCCCACTGCACTCAGGGGCCTGCATCCTGCTCCAGGGCCATGGGGCTGCTTCTAGGATGTCCTCAGACAGGGCTGAGGGCTGTGAGCGAAGGAAAAGAGCCCCAAGAAGAGGCTGGGCAGGCAGCAGGCCAGAAGCAGGAACACCAGGCTCCTGGGGACTGTGGTCTTGGTTCTGAGTCTTTGCTCAGCACTTCTGGCCTCCCTTGGCCCTAGTTTCCAGGTCTCTCCCCCTGGATTCCTTCTGGAGGAAAAATGTGCATACCTCTCTCTTCCATTCAGACTCCCCTCCCCTCCTGGGCCTTAATTTCTTCGTCTCAACCCGAGAAGCCAGGGCAAGGCAGTGAGGAGCGCCCTGGAGTGGGTCCTCTCAATTGTTGGAAGAATGTCCGCTCCTATGAGCCCTCTCCTCGCCTAGGCATTGGGGGCCTTGGACTGTGTGGTGGCTTCCGCTTGTCTCTGATCTGCCCTCCTGACCTCCAGGCCTGTGTGGGGGCAGGGCCTGCCTTTTACACCTCTGGCTTATCAATTAGTCCAGAACAACGTGCGGAGGGGGCACTTCTCCCCACAGGGCACCCAGGAGGGCAAACTGGTGGGCTGAGCAGCAAGGGGCTGGGGCTTAAGGAGCAGAGGGGGCACCTCAGTGCAGACCTGCAGCCTAGCTCAGGCCATGCTCTCTTCCGCCCTCAAGCGCCCTAGTCACAGAGGGACCCCACTTCCTGAACTGCTGTCCTCTCCCGCCGGGAGGCCGCAGCCTCGCTCCTTGAAAGGCGCCCCCTGACACCCTGACCTCAGTTTCTCCGGCCTTGGAAGTCAGACAAATTCAGAGCTCAGCAACAACAGGTCCGAGTCCTGTGTCCTCACAGGGGGCAGCCCCTCCAGGGCTGCGGACCCTGCAAAACCGCCGGGAGGGGGGGACGCAGGGTCTGGCTGTACCGAGGCCCAACCGAAGGGGCCAATGTCCCAAGGTGGACAGACCCGCGGGTGGTCGCGCCATCAGCCCGGCCTCGTACTGGCGCCCCGCCAGAACCTGCGGGCCCGCGGTAACGTCGCCGCCGACCGAGTCGGGGCGCCGTGCGGGAGAGGCTGGGGTGGCGGGCCGTGGCCCCCGCGCGGTCAGAGCCCTGCCACAGCCCTCCGCCCGTTGTGCGCGCGAGCAGTCAAGGCGGAGAGTCAGGGCGCCTCGCGGTCGCATCTTGGGGGCATCGGCGGGTCCTCCCTCCGCGCCTGCCCGGCCTCTTCGCCCTGCGGCTCGCTGCGGCCCAGGCCCTGGCTGTCCGAGGCCAGCGGAGGGCGGGGACGCGGCGCGTGCGGAGGGGCGCGGGCACGGCCGCGGGAGCTCGCTCCGCAGGGCCGCGCTTTGTTCTGCGGAGCTCGCGAGGCGCGCGCAGGGGCGGTCGCGGCACTTCCGCACGGGGCGTCCCGGGCGGCGCGCCAGGGCCCGGAGCCCCGCCCCCGTCCCCGTCCCGCCTGTCCATCAGAGCCGAGCTGTCCGGGCTCCCCGCGCTGGTCCCCGGGGACACGCGGTGGTTAATGAACTCCACTCTCTGCTTGACAGGCAGCCCTCAGTCTCCTTCCCTTCCTCACCCCGCAGCCACAGCAAAACAAAACGAAAATACAACCGGCCTGACCTTGCTCTTCCCTGGCACTGCCCATTTAAGGCCAAAAGCCCCATGCAGTAGAGACCTGGCTGTCCCTTGCTGATGTAGCCTAGCCCACCGCACCTCTGCCCATCCCGTCCAGTCTGTCCTGTGACACTCAGGGACCATGGAGCCTCTTGGGCACCATCTCAGTGTCTCTTAGCAGGTTCCAGAATTAATTCGACAAGCTGGTTGTGTCAGATTACACACCAGTAACCCCAGGGACACGAGGCAGAGGCAGGAGGATCCCAAGTTCAAGGCCAGCTTGGATTTAGCAAGACCTTGCCTCTAAATAAAAAATAAAAAGGGCCAGGTATGAAATGAAATTAAACCCCTATCTCTCACACTGCACAAAAATCAACTCAAAGTGGATCAAACACAGGCACTAGAACAAAGACCCTGCACCTAATATAAGAAAAAGTAGGCCCGAATCTTCATCATGTCAGCCTAGGATCTGACTTCCTTAATAAGACTCCTAAACTGCAAGAAGTAAAATCAAGACTCAATAAATGGGATGGATTCAAATTAAAAAGCTTCTTCTCAGCAAATGAAACAATAATGTGGGGAGAGAGCCTACAGATTGGGAGAAAATCTTTACCACATGCCCCTCCGAAAAAGCATTAATCTCTAGGATATATAAAGAACTCAAAAAAATACCAAAAAACCCAAATAAACCAGTCAATAAATGGGCTAAGGAACTGAACAGACACTTCATAGAAGAAATACAATCGACCAACAAATATACGAAAAAGTGTTCAACGTGCCTAGCAATTACAGAAATGCAAATCAAAACTACACTAAAATTTCATATCACTCCAGTCAGAACGGCAGCTATTAAGAATACAAACAACAATAAGTATGGGAGAGGATGTGGGCAAAAGGCACACTCATACACTGCTGGTGGGACTGCAAAATGGTGCAGCCACTATGGAAAGCAGTATGGAGATTCCTTGGAAAACTTGGAATGGAACCACCATTTGACCCAGCTGTCCCACTCCTTGGTTTATATCCAAAGGACTTAAAAACAGCATTCTAGAGAAATGCAGCCATGCCAATGTTTATAGCAGCTCAATTCACAATAGCTAAACTGTGGAACCAACCTAGATGCCCATCAGCAGATAGATGAATGGATAAAGAAAATGTGGCATATACACACAATGGAATATTACTCAACAATAAAAGAGAATAAAATCATGGCATTTGCAGGTAAATGGATGGAGTTGGAGAATATAATGTTAAGTGAAGTTAGCCAATCCCAAAAAACCAAATGCCGAATGTTTTCTCTTATATAAGGAGGCCAATTCGTAGTGGGGTTGGGAGGGGGAGCATGGGAAGATTAGACGAACTCTAGCTAGGGCAGAGGGGTGGGAAGGGAAGGGAGGGGGCAAGGGATGTAAAATCCACGATGAAATGAGGTGGACACCATTACCCTAAGTACATGTATGAAGACACAAATGGTGTAAATATACTTTGTATACAACCAGAGATATGAAAAATTATGCTCTATATGTGTAATATGAATGGTATTGCATTCTACAGCCATATATAACAAATTAGAATAAAAAAAAATAAAAAAAAACCCTACACTAATATTCCATCTCACTCCAGTCAGAATAGCAATCAAGAATACCATCAACAATAAATGTTGGTGAGGATGTAGGTAAAAAAAGTACACTCATACATTGCTAGTGGGACTGCAAATTGGTATAACTACTATGGAAAGCAGTAGGGTGATTCCTTAGAAATCTTGGAATGGAACCACCATTTGACCCAGCTGTCCCACTCCTCAGTTTATACCCCAAATCAGCATACTACATTAATTCAGCCAAGCCAATGTTTATAGCAGCTCAATTCACAATAGCTAAATTATGGAACCAACCTAGGTGTCTTTCAATAGATGAATGGATAAAGAAAATGTGGTATATATATAAAATGGAATATTACTCAGATTTAAAGAAGAATGAAATTATGGCATTTGCCAGTAAATGGGTGGAGTTGGAGAATATCATGCAAAGTGAAATAAGTCAATCCCCAAAAACCAAGGACCAAATATTTTCTTTAATGTTAATTCACAATAAGGGGGGGGGGGCACTAGAGAAGAATAGCGTTACCTTAGATTAGGTGGAAGGAAGTGATGGGAGGGGATGTGGGGATAGGAAGGATAGTAGAAAGAAAAGACATTATTGCTTTATGTATATATGTGACAGCATGACCACTGTGATTCTGCAACATGTACATTCAGAAAATTTCTCATTTTGTATATATTAAACATTATATAGATATATATATATATAAATTCTCATTTCACATATTATATCGCATCTATGTATATCAAAGTGCATAAATGCATTCTACTGTCATGTATAACTAATTAAAACAAATTTTTTACAAAAGCCAGGTATGTAGCTCAGTGGTAGAGTGCCCCTGGGTTCAATCCCCAGTACAAAATAATTCATCCAGCAAATGTTTATTGAGAGGGTACTAAGTGCAGGGTGACCTAGGCCCTTCACAAAGGTGCTATGTCCCCAAGAGAATGTGAGGGGATTCCTTTTGCTGTCCCAGCAGTGCTGTGAGGTGGCTCACAGCTTCCTTGTGGCTCAGCTTCCCTGAGGAGGTCACCCTCTTGGAGCCACCATCCTGCCTCCCCCTAGGATACCTCAAGTGGCCTAGTTCACAGGGCAGACGCTGCCATGCTTGCCCTGGATGTGCTGCAGGGAGGGATGGTGGCAGCCTCTTCCTCCCTCTAGCCAACCTTTGTCAGTGCCTCTTATCTGTGTCCTGCAGGGACCATATGTTGGAGATGGGGAAGAGACCCGAAGGCATCTTGGGTGGTGGGGGTCTAGGGGAACACTGTGGGCCGGGGAGGTGGGTATGTGTATGATCCACTGTAGACTTAGGGCTTGGTGGGGAACAGCAGGCAGGTGAGCTCCCGGCCACCGCTGTGTCTGTCCACCAGAGGCAGCGGGTGCTTTGCATAGTGCTGGACCATGGCCACCACAGAGGGGAAGAGCTGCGGAGGGAGGCAGGGCGTCCATGAGTCCCTGAGCTCTGTGCTGCCAGTAGCTTCTTGAGGCAGCTGTGGCCGCCCAGGGGGCATGTTGACACCTCTCCAGGTATTTTTCCTTCCCGTGTGGCCCCTGAAGCTCCACTGTCATTTTGCAGCCCAGTCCCGACAAGCCTCTGTGACTTCCCTGTGCCTGCACCCATGGGCTCCCAGTGGCCAGACTAAGAGAAACCACTGGCGGCCTGCCTCTGCCTGGTCCTTGGTATGGGGAGCCCAGCGGTGGGTAGCTGCCTCTGGTCTGCACCCCTGCAAACACTGGGTGCAAAGTTGCATCCTGGGCGCAAGTTGGCATGGGTCAGCTCCTGGGACTCTGCCCTCTGCCCACAGGACTCAGGACAGGCACAAAGCCCCACACTGTGCAGACTGAGTCCCGGCAAGAGGGGCAGGCCTCTTCCCAAAGTGCCAGGCATCTCTGAGGAAGGTTGGACCTGGGCTGCTGTCATTTTTACCCACCCCAGGAAAATGTGAATTGTGGGTTCCCCTGGCACGTGCTCTTGGCTAGGCCTCGGCGGGCACTGTGCTCTGTCCCCTGGCCCAGACGCCCTGCCTCCTCCAGCTCACCTCCTCATGGCTCTTGCCCTCCCGGCCCAGAGCGTAGTGGCCCCCGCCCTCCAGCTGCCGGATGGGAATGTTGAACACCCGGCCTCGGAGGAGCACCGCCAGCGTGAGAGGCTGAGAGCGGTGAGGCCCTGAGCTGGGGCGCACTGTGTAGGCCCCGTCCTGTGGAGAGAATTCAGCCATGGGCCTTGTCTTCAACTGCCCACCGCAGCCCTAACTCAGGAGGGCCAGAACCATCTGGTCTCCTGCTCCTGTCTGCTCAGCCAGCCACAGCCTGTGAGCAGAAGGGATTCTGGAGAAGGCCAGGGACCTGCAGCTGCCCACCTTTTGGAAGCGAAGCAGGGCCCTCTCAACAGCAAGCCGGTCACAGTTCCCTGCATACCATGGCTGGCCCAGCAGGCTGCCATCCTGCATGCACACACACAGCCACTCAGAGACGTGTGGGCACTGGATGGCATGGGGGGTGCAGAAGATGCTGGGGCTGACATGTCTCAGCCCCAGACTGAGCCCCACATGCAGAGCCAAGCGCCAGTGCCTGCTGCACAGCTGGGCACCACACGCATGCTCAATACTGTCCCACCCAGAGGGCGCTGCACACATGTGCTCAGTGAGTGATCTTGGTGGAGCAGCTGCCTTGCCCAGGAGGGCTCCAGGAGAGGTCTGCTCCCTGCTGGCCTCCACCCCAGTCAGCTGCCAGCCCCTCTCACCTGGGCAGCGGAGGTGCTCCTGGGGGGCCCTCTGGAGGGAAGAGACAATCTCCTTCCTGCTGGAAAAAGCCACTATAGAGCTGGGGCTGGGAGGGGGTTGGGCAAAGGCAGCTTCTGAGCACAACTTCAGGTGTGAGGGCAGGAGCAGGAGTGGGAGGAGTCCTGAGGCCCACCGCAGGGCACCCCGTGCTCCCCTGTGGGTAGGTCTGTGCCCTGTTAGGACCTACCAGCCAGCCCTTGTGTAAGTCCCAATTGAGGAGGGATCTTGGGTTCCCCACTTGGCGTAGATCCTGGAAAATGCCCAAGAGTCCGCTCAGGGCTGATCTCAGCAAAGTGGGGCCTTCACGGCTGGGGGAGTCTTAGAAGTGGGAACGAGTCTCCAGGGGTGGGAGGGAGTCTGGGCCTACAAAGCCTGGGGCCTTGGGGTCTGCTGGTTTGTGCCCCAACATGATGTACTCACCTTTGGAGGTGGCGTCTGCTGCTCCCTGGGACAGTAGAGGTCTGGTTAGCCTGCCCCTCTCCTGAAGTCTTCCTGCTCCTCCCTCCCAACACTCACACCCCCCTTGACCACTAGCCTCCTACCTTCCGAGATTCCTGGGGGGTTATGGTAGGCCTGCAGGGAGCAGGTTGGGGACAGAACTCAGGTCTTTATCATGTCATGAGTAGCACCCCAGTAAACCCAGCCTCCCAACTGCTCCTGTCACCCCTGCCAGCAACCCCAGGACACTGCATCAGGTCTGGGGGAGCCTGAATTGGTGCCCCCTTGCTCGCTCTCAGGCATGTGCCTGTGTATCTGGTGGGGCACTCACCTGGGCACCACAGGTGTCACTGGCAGAGGGACTGGGGGCAGCAGAACTTGAGAGCTCAGAGTCTGAGTCAAGGCCGGAACTGAAACAGAGAGGGCAGGCTGGGCTTGGATGGGCAGCAGCCCGGGAAATCCAGGCGGTGGGTCAGGGAGGAGCTGCAACAGCTGCAGGGTCTGCGGCTTCTCTGCAGTGGGGCTTTCTGGGAGTCCTTCCAATCTGAGGGCAAGGCTTGCCTGGCTGCAGGGCTGAGAGATCCACCCAGACCTTGCTCTAGCGGGGTGGGGTCACCTCCCGGTAGAAACAGAGTGGGTCAGCCTGGGCCAAGAAGCAAAGAGATTTGTGGTGTCTGAGGGTAACTGTGTGTTGGGGGGTGGGGAGAAGATGGGGCAGGAGAGGGAGCCTGCTGGGGACAGCTGGATGCAGCAGGACTAGATGGTCTGGGGAAAAGGAGCAGCACCTGGGTCAGGCTCACACTCCAGGTAGATGTCCTCCTCAGGTTTCTTCACAAGGCTTGACACCTAGGGTAGGGAGGGGTGTAGGTGGCCAGCCCTGGGGGTTCACTTCAGGAGGAGAGGGCCTCTGACCTAAGCAGTGGGGCGGGGCAGAGAAGGAAGCAGTAATGGGGGAGGCTCGGGCACCTCACTCTCTTCTCACCAAGTGGCCTTTTCTAGAAATTAGCTTGAGTGGTCAAAAGTGCTCCTCTGCCTGGGAGGGGCATCCTGTAAGCCCCTCCCCTTCAGAGACAGCACAGGAAGTGCAGGTGCTGGGAGGCCCTCAGGACAGCAATCCCACACCTGCCAGGGGCCTGAGGCACGGGCCTTTCCACTAGTTTCAGGGATCTTTCCTGGCCCTCCCAGGACCACCCACCCAAGTGGATTTCCAGCCAGAACCCTAGAATGGAGGTGGAGATAGGGCAGCTCACCACTCTGGCAGGTGCACCCCACTCTGCATGGAAAAAGAGAGAACCAGAGGGGAGAGGGTGAGAACCCTGGGAGATCTCTGCAGAGGGTCTTCAGAGCCAGCTTCAAAGCCCCAGGGAAAGCCATGCTCTACCCAACCCTGTGGGTGTCCAGCTTGCCCTCCCCACCCATTTGCCAGGCATGGCTCCAGATGACTTTGGGCTGGTCCAAAAAACAAAGCCACTCTCAAGGTCAGGAGGGTTTAGCAACCAGTGAGCACAGTAGAAGGGAATGTGCTGGCCTTGAGCAGGAGAAGGTCACCCTGCAAGGCCTCTTCTTTCCTGAGGTCCCTCCCTGTCCTGACCTCCCAGGGTTCTGGATCAACAGACCTCAGGGCAATGGACCATAGGGTCTAGTCTGTGGACAGCGGTGGCAATGGTTACAGGCAGAACCAGAATGCCCTTTATAGGGACTGGCTCCAGATGTCTCAGTAGAAGGCCCTCAAGACTGACCACTTCATTGTGGGGTGTCCCTCACCTGACCCAGAGATCACTCCAGGTGCAGACAGGGCTACTGCCTACCTAGACTCCCTACCTCTGGGGATTGGCAGGTAGAAAGGAGGGGCAGCTGAGAAGGTGATGAGCCAGCTCAATTCTACTCCGTGGGGGGGCGAGGACTCCCTTCCCAGGATGCAGCCAGGAAAGAGAGGACTCCCCTTACCTCGCCTCCCAAAGTCAGGTGCCTGCTTCGAGGCCACCTGCAGGTTCGCTGCTGCCTTCAGCTGTGGGGACAATGGGGCTCGTGAGGGAGGAGGGAGGAGGGACTGAGGCATGGGCAGGCAGGGATGGACTGCCTGGATGGCCAGTGTAACATCCCTGCAGCCTTAAAAACCGCCACCAGACACAAGAAGAAAGGTATTAAGGGACCACACTTGGTTTTGCCTCTCCTCTGTGGCCACTCCCTCCCTGGTTTTTATTCCACTTTTACATGCAGAATGAAAGTGGTAGCTTTCAAATCCATAACCCAGATGGAATTCGGAGTGGGGGCTGGCAGTGACCAGCAGCTGAGAGAGGGCTGATTCACTCCCTGAGTAGGGTCCTCAGGCCCAGGGTCCAGGAGGGCCACGGAGCTGGCTCCTGTCCCAGCTTGGGCAAGCTGTGGGAGCAGGAGCGCGTGTCCTGCTGAAGCGATGGGCACAGGAAGGGACCAGGGGCGGGACGACGGCGACCCACGTTATGGGCTCTGTCTTCAGAGCTTGGCCCCTGCATTTCAGAGGCCTCTAGTGCAAACGTGGGCGAGCCTGCCGACGAGGTGCCGCGCGTACTCACCGGGACACGCGGGCCGGGGGAGGCGCGCGCGGGGAAAGAGGCGCCTGCGGGGAGGCCGCTCGCCGGGGCAGGCCGAGGCCGGGGCGGTGGCTTGGAAGGGCCCCCAGGGCCGGGGCGATCTGTAAAAGACCCCCGCTTGTGGGCGGGCTTCCTCCGCAGGGCCGGGGCTTCCTCCGCCGGCCCCCGGCCTCGGTTCTCCCCCGCCCCCGCCCGCTCCCTTCCCTCATTGGCTGCGCGCATCCCCGTCGCCATGGCAACCAGAAGGCCAGCTTCCCTGGCCCGCCGCTGAAGCCCGCGGTGGGAGGCCAGCGCAGGGTGCACTGCGGGCTGGGGGGGACTCGGCCCCCAGGGCGCGGCCGGGGTCCCAGCCTCCTGCGGCCGCCTCGGTCACGCGCTCGCTCTCTCCCTCCCGCCTCCCCTCTCCGTTCCTCCAGCCCCTGCGCCTGGCCCGGAGGCCCCGCAGCCAGGGCGGCTCCCCTCTGTGCCTGCGCAGGCCGGGAGAAAAGGCAAGGCCTCAGGGTCTTCCCTTGTGGGCGCCTCCCGCCTCCACTTGCCGGCCCTCACCCAGGTACAGGGAGTCCTCCTCCGCTCCAGGACGGGTCGCAGGGGCCAGATTGAGAGGCAGAGCTTCACAGGGGGGCAGCTCATACTTGTCCTCCTCATCGTCCTCTTCTCGGGCCTTTAGGAAGGGATGCTGGCCAGGGAAGAATGGAGTAGGTCCAGGACCCCAGTAGCTTCTGCCTGCTGTCCCCTGCCCCACCCCAGCCTCAGCAGCTGGACTTACCCTGTGTCTCCAGGTCTCTGGGGCAGACAGAGGAGAGGGACCCAGCACATCTTCTCTCCAAGCTGAGACATCTAACAGATAGATAGGCCTCACCTCCTCCCAGTCCACCCTCCTCTAGTAACCCACTCTCCATCCTTTTAACTAAAGGAATACAGCACCATGGCAGGGCAGAGCCATGAGGTCATTTTGAAGACCATGGGTGGGCATTTTGGAAACAAGGCTCCCAGCCACAGTCCCACATGGGCTGTCCTCTGTCCTTGTGCTGCAGATGTTGGCCAAGACAGGTGGGAGAGCTGGGTCCCAGTGACCGGTGTTGGGGGCCCTAGGGGACACCCTACTTGTGGGATCCCATCACTTACCCACACATCTGGGGGGTGGAAGGGGTGGCCCCAACCTGCAAGCAGACTGCAGTCAACTCTGCCCAGGGGGCTTTTGAGCTCCTGTCAGCTAGACTTAGCACTCTAGGACATTCTCGCACGTAACAGTGTGAGTGCCCTAGAGTTGTAGGACACCAAGGCCCTGGCACTAGGGCAGCAAGAGCAGGAGGCTGGGGACAGGGCCAGTGCCCTCAGGGTGAAAAGCTAGATGAGTTGGCCCCCGGGTAACAGAGGGTAGGAGTACAGGCAGGGTCCTTGGAGTGGGGTGACAGAGGGTGGGAGTACAGGTAGGGTCCTTGGAGTGGGGTAGACCCAGCACTGCTCCTGGGGCAGGTGCTTTGCAGAGGGTAGGGCAAAGTGGAAGCAAGGGAATGGAGAGCCCTCCCTGGTACTCACTGGGGCCTGCTGCTGCTGCTCCTACGCTCCTCCTGGAAAGAGCCAGAGGGAAGAGGCCGGGTAGTCAGCCTAGCAAGTGCCTCTCATGCCCTGGCCCCTAGCACGGACAGGCTTGTGTGCTGAGGCTACCCTGGGACCACCAACTCTCACCATGGCAGTCTGGAGGACCTCTACCTCCCTGGAACCCAGGATCTGTGACTGGTGGCCTGGGAACAGGGGCCTATTGTTCCCATTATTTGCATCTCCTAAGCACTGGGAAGGTGGGCCAGCTGTGGCCTACAACTCTAGTGGACTTCACCCAGGACACTCCCAGGGCCCACTCCCAGTCCCAGCTCTCCTCCCCAACATTTGTGGTCTCCAGTCTCTCTGCCCCTAGGAGCAGACCAAGCCAGACCAGGGCAGGCAGCCTTCCTTGGGCTCTGATCCATGTCCATGCCTCCTCTTCCTCTTGCTCTTCTTCTCATCCCCTGTTTTGCTTGGTTTTAAGCCAGTGCTGGGAATCTAACCCAGGGCCTCAGGGGTGCCAGGGAGAGCCAATTCACACAGCACCATCCCCAGCCTCACAGAGAATGATGCTTTAACTGGTAGTTCCAATTAAGAACGAGATGGCCCTTGCACATACTTCCCTGAGCCCTGGCTCCTGCTGCCCTTGGCTGGCGAGTGGTGATCAATGAGCCGAGAGATGAAGGCTAGTGAGGAGCTCAGAAATAGGCCCTGGGATTCAGTGTGACATCATCACTTTTTGATGGATGGGTTTATTCATTCAGTGGGTATTTATTGAACCTCTAGGTACTATTCCAGGAGGTGAAGATGCTGTAGAAAGATGAACAGCATTACGTCTGTATTTCCTTGTTGGATTCTCAAAATAATCTCATGACACAGGCACTAGTTTTATCTATACTTTTCAAAGAAGAGATTGGGTGTGTTAATCAGCTCAAACTTCCACAACAGAATGCCACAGACTGAGAGGCTTAGAATCTCTGCAGGTCACTGGGGTTGGTTCCTGGTTCTCTCCCTGTGTCCTCACAGACCTCTTATCTGTACACAGAACTATCTCCCACAGACAGCCATACTAAGAGTTAGGGCTTCAGCATGTTAGTGTGGGGACACAACTCAGTCTCTAACGCGGAGGCTCAGAGAAGCTGAAGGGCTTCCCCAAGGCCTGCAATCAGCGAGTGCTGAGGGGGGCTTCTTCCTGAGGTTTGCCTGGGTGCTGACCACCGCAGATCCTCCTCTAACATGGGATCTGAACCCTGATCCCCTGTGATGCCATTAGATTCTTTGGCACTTGTGGGCTTCCTTGAGAACCAAGTAAATTTTGGAATACTGACTTCTGAGAAGTGTTGAGATAAAGGGAGGGCAGGTCGGGTGTCTGACCATTTGAGCCACAAAATACACTATAATTGTGGATATGGGACCTTCTCAGGTCTGTAGCTTTCTTGCATTTTCTGCTTTGGTGATGACTGACCATTGGCACAAAGAAGAAATTGAGCCCAGGCACCTGTGCTTTTGGAGGGCATGAAGCTGGGGCACTGAGGAGAGAGCCTGGGGCTGGAGCTAGCCATGGCCTTAAGAGGAGACCAGGTGAGTCATGGGACCAGCATTTCAGAAGCCATGAAGAGCTGGGTGCCGTGGCACATGCCTGAGATCCCAGGGACTGGGGAGGCTGAGGCAAAGGATCGCAAGTTTGAGGCCAGCCTGGGTAATTTAGCAAGGCCCACGGTAACTTAGGAAGACCTTGTCTCAAAATAGAAAATTAAAAGGGCTGGGGATGTGGCTCAGTGGTAACCCGGTTCAATCTGTAATACAAAAAAATAAAAAATAAATAAAAGCCATGCAGAGTCACTGGGGTGGTTTAACAGGGAACCCTAGTGGTGCAGGAAAAATGACAACAAAAAAGAACAAGAGTCAAGCCAGGAGCTGGGCAGGTGGCACACGCCTGTAATACCAGTAGCCAGGGAGGCTAAGGCAGGAGGATTGTGAGCTCAAAGCCAGCCTCAGCAATGTATGGTGAGGGGCTGAGCAACTCAGTGAGACCCCGTCTCTAAATAAAATATAAAATAGGGCTGGGGATGGGGTTCAGTGGTCGAGTGCCCTTGGGTTCAATCCCCAGTAACAACCACCAAAAAAACGAGAGTCAAGCTAGGCACACAGGTCCACTCCTGTCCTTCCCTCCTAGCTAGCTGACTGTAAGGCAGGGGCAACTTCCCTCACCCACAGAGACCTCCTATGGGATTAGAGACCACAAACCAGAGCGCAAAGAAGGTTCTGGACACACCCCACCATTAAACCCCAGTAGAGCCCTTCCCAGACTCCCCGCCCTCACCCCAGCGGTCTCTTCCCTCTGCCTGAGGTTTGCATAGGCAAATGCCATGGCCTGGGTGGAGGCTGCAGCCCAAGCCATCTGGGCAGGCCACCACCAGCACGAACCTGGGAGCAGGCAGGAGGGTGCTCGGCGACCCCCAGCCCTGCAGAACCTTGCTGTTTACTGTCACACAGGCCAATTTGGACACCTCCTCCTCATCTCTGGCACAGGTGCTTTGCTAAGCCACAGACATTCCCTCTGGAGGAGTCCCTAGAAACATTTGTAGAAACTCACACTGTGAAGGTTTACTGTCACACGCTCTGGCAGCACCCAGAACCATTTTATGGTTCTTCCAGAGCACAAGGTGATTCTCAGATTTTTCAGAGCCCAGCTTCCAATGTCCAGTGAGAGCAGGCCACAGTGTATAGGAGCGTCTAAATCCACCTTAGAAAACCAGCAGCCAGCGGGGTGCATGCACTCATCTGTAATCCCGGCCACCCAGTGGCTAAGGTAGCAGGACCTCAAGTTTGAGGCCAGTCTTGGCAATTTAGCTAGACACTGTCTCAAACTAAAAAGGGCTGGGGATGCAGCTCAGCCACAGAGCACTTGCTGAGCACATGTGAGACCCTGGGTTTGGTCCCTCTACTGCAAAACAAAATAAAATGGTGGTGAGGGGGGCCTGGGGCTGGGGCTCAGGGGCAGAGCGCTTGCCTAGCACATGTGAGGCTCAGGGTTCGATTCTCAACACCACATAAAAATAAATAAAGGTGTTGTGTCCATCGACAACTAAAAAAAAAAAAAAAAGGTGGGGGTGGGGGTGGATAGAGCCATTTAGAGCAGTGTTTTTTCCATTTGTCTGATCATAAGAATTGTGGAGGGGGTTGTCAAAAATCAATCGGTTCTGGCCAGGTGTTATGATGCTCACCTGTGACCCCAACAACTCTGGAGGCTGAGGCATGAAAAGCACAAGTTCTAGGTCAGCCTCAAAACTTAGCAACTGCTCTAAGCTCAACTACCCCCAACCCCTGCCCTCCACCCAGGACCCCCAGCACATTTGTTTGTCATAAGTTATTTCCACCCACACTAGCCAGAGCTGGTTAAGAACTCTAACCTAGAGAGGAAACCAGAGCATCAGTGGGGTCACACCAAATGGCTGCCAAGAAGCCACAGGGGGAGCCCCAGTGTGGGTGCCCCCAGGAAGGAGGGACCAAGAGGACCCAGAGTCATGGCCATAGCTTTACTCTTAGACCCTTGGAATTTTTTAAATGACAATAATATTATTGATAATAATAAGCTAGGTGCAGTGGTGCACGCCTGTAATCCTGGCAGCCCAGAAGGCTGAGACAGGAGAGTTTAAGGCTGGCCTTAGTAATTTAGCAAAATCCTAAGCAACTTAGTAAGACTTTGCCTCAAAATAAAAATGGCTGGGGATGTGGCTCAGTGGTTAAGTGTCCCTGGGTTCAACCCCCAGTTCAGAAATAATAATTATATATATTTATATATAAAATATGGGGGTATATAAAAAAGAAGGGAGAAAGATGACCAGGATTTCTGATATGAAGAAGCAAGGGGGCCACTGTGCCAGGGGAAGCCGGCCCTGGAGAGGGATGCCGGGCTGAGGTGGGTCCTATAGCCAGGTTCTGCTCCACCAGGGAAACTCAGGGAAGGAGGAACCCTGCAGTGCGCTGGAAGGGCCAGGACTGTCCTCCTGGGGTGGGAAGGGGAGGCACGGGGTTTCCATCTGGTGGAAGGAGGCACCTTTGAACCTGAGCTTGAGCCTTCACCAGGAGAGGCCTGGGGGGGGGGACAGGGAGAGGAGGGTGAGGGTGGGGAGAAGGCGGAGGGCAAGGGGCACTGAGTGCTGGGGTATCTTCAGCAGAGAGATGGCCAAGTCCGGGGCCAGCGCGCCCCTGGTGGAAGCCCACTGAGCTCTGTGTGCTTGGGTTCAAGTTGCCACCAGGGACAACCCAGAAGGGAGCCGTGTGCACCAGGGACAGAGGATGGCCGGGACAACCTGCTGGCAGAGGGCCCTCTCTCCACTCCTGCGCCCTCCCGAGGTGGCTTTCAGTGGCAGCAGTGAGTCAGCTTGCCCTGGTGACACCCATGATGGGGGGAGGAGGGCTGCTAGATGGGGTCTCTGCCCCGCCCCCCGTGCATGATCCTCTACTGCTGCCGTGTCAGAGGCTTGTATCAGACCCTCCCTCCTCTCCCCTGAAAGTGGACGGAAGGCCATGTTTTCCCCAAGCGTGGGTTCCTGGCTTGGGTCAGGGCTGGGGCGAGAGGTGATTC